CCTCCTCCTCCTCCTCCTCCTCCTCCTCCTCCTCCTCCTCCTCCTCCTCCCCCCTCCTCCTTCCTTCTCCTCTTTCTTCTCTTTCTCGTCCTCCATTCCTTTTCCTTATAAATGATTTCCCCCTGTCGCACCCCGAGGCCAATTTGTATGGCGGGCCGGGCGTTTCGCCGTAGACTTCCCTACCACTTATGACCCTGAAGCGTCAAAAATGGCAACAGCTTCACACATGGAGGGCGGGTTGTTTTCAAACTGTGGCCCACGCCTTAGCGCCGAGCGCGCTCCTTTTCAGTATTTGCACGAGCTTCACGGATTGAGTGGAGCCCGTTTTCAAAATGTGGTTGTCGCTTTAGCGCCGCGCGCATTCTTTTTCACAATTTGCAAGAGTTTCACGCGTTGAAGGAGATTCCTTTTCAATATGTGGCTCCCGCCTTAGCGCCGCACGCATTCGTTAATACAAATTGCAAGAGTTTCACGGAGTTCCATGATCAGAGTAATTACGTACCAGGAATTTCGTGTTGGAAAGATTCAGGATTGTGGGGGCGCAACAGTTACGTTCATTCGCGGTGTTGAATTCCTAAGAATAGCGCTATGGCACGATTCAGGATCGTCAACACGCAACAGTCAGGTTGATCCGTGGCGTTGAAATCCCGAGAACAATGTTTTGGCATGCTCCAGGGTTTTCAAACGGCTGTCTGCCAACGCGGCAGTTCCCTCAATGGAGATGAACCGTTGTAGGCGCCTATGAAGAGGGAGCTTGGAAGAGTTGATTCCGACATCGTTGGTGACTCTTGGGTTTGCATTGGTCTTCTTCCATCTCCTCCTCCTCCATCTCCTCCTCCTCCTCCTCCTCCTCGTCCTCCTCCTCCTCCTCCTCCTCCTCCTCCTCCTCCTCCCCCTCCTCCCCCTCCTTCCCTCCTCCTCCTCCGTCTCCTCCGTCCTCTCCTCCGTCCTCTCCTCGCCCTCCTCCTCCTCCACCTCCTCTTCATCCTGCCTCCTCTTCACCCTCCTCCATCCTCCTCCTCCTCCTACCTCCTCCTCCTCCTCCTCCCTCCTCCTCCTCCTCCTCCTCCTCCCCCCCTCCTCCTCCCCTCCCCATCCGCTCCCCATCCTTCTCCTCTTCCTCCTCCTCCTCCTCCTCCCTCTCATCATCAATCATCATCATCATCCTCCTGCTCCTCCCTCCTCCTCCTCTCCTCCTCCTCCTCCTCCTCCTCCGCCTCCTCCCCTCCTCCTCCTCCTCCTCCTCTCCTCCTCCTCTCCTCCTCCTCCTCCTCCTCCCCCTCTCCTCCTCTTCCTCCTCCTCATCCTCCCTCTCCTCGCTCCTCCTCTCCTCCTGCTCCTCCTCTCTCCTCTCCTCCTCCCCTCCTCTTCATTCCTCTCCTCCTCCTCTCATCTCCTCCTCCCCATCTTCCTACTTCCCCCATCCTTCTCCTCTTCACCCTCACTCCTCCTCCTCCTCCTCCTCATCCTCCTCCTCCCCATCTTCCCCCATCCTTCTCCTCTTCCTCTCCTCCTCCTTCTCTCCTCCACCTCCTCCTCCTCCTCTCCTCCTCCTCTCCTCCCTCTCCTCCTCCTCCTCCTCCTCCTCCTCCTCCGCCTCCTCCTCCTCCTCCTCCTCTCTCCTCCCCTCCGCTTCCTCCTCCTTCCTCCTCCTCCTCCTCCCCCCTCCTCCTCCTCCTCCTCCTCACATCCTCCTCCTCCGCCTCCTCCTCCTCCTCCTCGCGTCCTTCCCCCTTCTCCTCTTCTTTCCCCCTTCCTCCCCCCCTCCTCCACCTCCTCCTCCTCCTCCTCCTCCTCTCCTCTTCTCCTCCTCCTCTCCTCCTCCTCCTCCTTTTCTCCTTCCTCCTCCTCCTCCTCCTCCTCCTCTCCTCCTCCTTCTCCTCCTCCTCCTCCTCCTCCTCCTCCCCCTCCGCCGCCCCCGATACCTAGACGCCCTCGGCTAGAAGAAGCCGCTTGCCGTCGGCCCCTCCTGGGGGCGAGCGGCGGCGGAGCCGCTGTCCAGGCCCTCGGGCTGCCGCACCAGCTCGATGGGCTCTCGTGTGCTCGGCCGGCCCGCGTGCTCCCTCGCTCGGGTCGAGGAGGACCCAGACCCTCGCGCTGTGAAAAAAAACACGACGGGAGGTGTTTCGTTCTTTTCGGCCTCCCGGCGCCCTCCTCACCCGGCCCTGGGACCGTCAGAAGAACGACTCGGGGTGAGAAGCTGGTCCCGGGGAGGGGGTCGGAGCTTATGATGTTCCAACCTAATTTAGCCTTGATCACCAGACAGGATTTCGAGCACCAAGAAAGTACCGAAACTTGATGGTGTTTATGTGTCGGGCCCTGGGAGGCGATACTCGTTCGACAATGCTTCGATACTCTTCTGGGTGCTCGAAATTTTGTTTTGGGGTTTGGTCCTTAAGTACAATGGGAGCAACGTAAGTCCTGTCCTCTGGGGGTCGACGTTGCGAACAAAAGCACGATGGCGGGGGTCTGGGGAGACGTCGGCATGAGCAGGAGCTCTCGGAGGCGCGGGGGTTCCCTGGCTCGGCGCTGGGGCGCCAGCGAGGAGGGTGCCCGGCGCCGATCCGAGTGGTCCGCGCGGACCCGCGGACGCTCATGCTCATGCCGACGTGGCTTCTCCGATTGAGGCGCACAACTCTCGAGTGTCCGAGAACTCAGCCACCCGCAGGTGGGGGTACGGGGAGGGGGGAAGGCTCCGCAGGAGCACCCCTGCTGCTGGGCAGGCGCGGGCCTTCTCTCTGCAGACGTGGGGCCGGCGCCTCCTGAGAAGCAGCTCGCCTCTGAGAAGCCTCTCCGCCCTCCCCCCCAATGCCCCCTTTTGCACGCGCCGCCAGAGAGCGCTGGCCCGTGGGCGAGTCGCGAGGGAGCTGCTCGTGCCTCCCACCCTCGGCCCGCGCACGCCTCGAGCAACTTTAGTGCGCGGCCGGCCCGTGGAGGCCCGTCGCTCGGGGCGCACCAGTGCTGCGCGTGTCTGAGAGCCGCCAGCCTGCAGTCGGGCATGTCCCTGCGCAGGAGGAAGAGTCCATAAGAATCAAGACATAGTCTGGGGAGGATTTCTCTGATACTTTTGTAAAAAGTTTGTTGGGGTCATGTTTGACTATTTTTCATTTGTCGCCCAAGATCCGCCTGCAGGAGGACATGCCCGACCCAACGCTGGCCCTGTAGACGAGACTACGTGGAGCTGCCCTTTGCTCCCAAGCTCTCGGGCCCCGCACGGCAAGTCACGGCTCAGAGTGCTTTGGCCCTCCTGTTGTCACCCAGAAGCTGCGCCTCGTGGACAAAGAAGAGTGAGAAAGAGAGAGAGAGAGAGAGAGAGATAAAGAAGAAAGAGTGGGAGAGAGAGGAGGCGGTGTTCATGTCTATATGCGCTTCTGCTTCATCCCTCCCAGCGGAGGCAATGACCCTCGACGAACCGACCCGGGCCAGTCTAGTGTAGCAGTGTTCGCCAGCGGGGGCCCCAAACTGCACGCGGTGGATCTGTAAGGCATGCGGAGCAGCCTGTGGTGCCCGAGCAGTGCTTGCACTCAGGGGGTTCTTGCTCGGGTCACCTGGGGAATGGCTCGGGTCCGCGGAGGCGTCGCCCGGTGCCCAGTGGCTTCCAGTCGGGCGTGGGTGCCTCGTGGGCGCCACGTGCGCTGGATGGGGTCCGCCCGGGTCTCGCTCGGTGCCTGGCCGGTGGCTGGCCGTGGCCGCGGGCGCCCTGTGGCGCCCGGGGTGGGCCCGCTGGGATTTCGCCCAGGCGAAATCCCAGCGGGTGCCTGGCTGACCGGCCACCAGCCAGGCACCAGCTGGTGCCTGGCTGGTGGCCGGTCCTGGGCGCCTCGCGGGCGCCCGGCGTCGGTCGCGGGCGCCCCGCGGGCGCCCCGTGCGCTGGCTGGGTCCGCCGTGGCCTGTTCCCTGAAGTGGAGGCCTGGTCAGCAGTGGCGCTCTGGAGCTCGCGGGGAGGGGGTCCCCGGTCCCGACTCCGCCCTGCAGAGCAGGCGACGGTCGTTCGCCGATCCTCTTCACGGGTCCAGGCGCCTGTCGGGCGCCTCCTGCGGCAGGCCGCCAGGATCAGCGCGCTTCACAGTGACCTGATCGTCACCGCCCACCACACCACCCCAACCCATCCCGAAGGCCCCGATTTGCCCTCCATTTTCGGGGGGGGGGTCGGGGAACATGGAATGAAAAAACACATATGAAGCCCGTACCCCCCCCAACCCGAAATTCGGGCGAAACTCGGGTCGGGTTGGGTTTGGGTGGTGTTGTAAGTAGTCAGATCGATCCGATCCTACGGCGATTCCGGCTGGCCCAGTCTGAGTCGACTCCGATATCGCGACGATCCGATGCGGCCCAATGCTGCATGGCATTGGTGTATGTCCTAGCGCAGCCGATCCGATTCGATTTCGACCCAGCACAGATGCAGCTCGATCTGGCGCACATTCCAATCTGATTCGGCTTGCCGCCTCGATGTTGTTGGACCTCTCATCCGCCGAGTCCCCTTCGTCTTCGTCCTTCCCGCTCCTAGCCCCCTCCTCTCAAAGCCCGGAGGCTGTCGCTGAGCTGCAGCAGAGCCCATATAAGATTTGCCAGCGCTGTGACCTCACGGTTCGGTCCTCATGATTTCAGCTTGGGATTGGTACTCCTGGAGTGCGGTCGAGGGCCCTTCCCTACTAATTCCCATCCCTTTTTGAGCCAGAGGCATCCCCCAGCGAGGCTGCTGGAAGGCGCTCCCAATGCTTGACGCAGGGCCACCGCAGTCCGCCAAATACTCAAAGCTTTCAGGCGTTCAAAGCCACCACCCAGACAGGCAGAATCCAGAACTATGGTTCGTAAGTGTTGTTGATGTGCCTTTCGCTTCTCCTCATCCTCCTCCGCCTTCTCATCGTCTCACTCCTCCTCTGAGTACCTCTCCTCCTCATCCTCCGCCCAGCCCTCGTCCCACTCCTCATCGCTCCTGCTCCTCTCCCTCCGCGTCTTCCTGTATGGCTATCGTGGCTCAGGGCCCTGCGCTCGTCTGACACATCCTGGTCGGGGGGCGCCGCCGATAGTCAGCACGTTGATCACACACACACACTCTTTACACTCTGCCTGCCCGATCTTTCCATCGAGGGCGTGGCCGATGCTGTCCCCGCTCCGCAAGGGCTCCCACGAGGGCGCGAAGTTCGTCGCGCTTCGCGCTTCGCGGCCCTCGTTCCTTCTGCCCCTCCTCCTCGTCCTCCTCTTCTCCCTTTGGGGGGGCGGCACGAGAGCGCGAAGTTATTCGCGCTTCGCGCAGCGCGAAGCGCGAAGCGCCGAGTTGGGAGCCCTTGGCTCCGCCGGGTGGCGCTGGGCGCGTGGGCTCTCTGCGTGCTGCCTCTCGACCTTCCCGCGCGCGGCGACGCCGCGAAGGTGGCGACGTCGGTGCAGCTGCACAAGAGGACAATCAAGGAGGCCATCAAGGAGACCATCGAGGAGGAGGAGGAGGAGGAGGAGGAGGAGGAGGAGGAGGAGGAGGAGGAGGGGGAGGAGGAGGAGGAGGAGGAGGAGGAGGAGGAGGAGGAGGAAGCCATCAAGGAGACCATCGAGGAGGTGGACAGTGACCGGGGCTACGGCCATTTCAAGGGCCACTTCAAAGATCATTTCTTGACTGGCGCCCGCGTCGACCTCCGAGGGCATGCTCGCACAAGGGTTATGCACAAGGCAGCTTATTTCGGCACCGTCGAGATCGGCACCCCCAAGCAGTCGTTCCAGGTCGTTTTTGATTCTGGCAGCGGAAACGTCGTGGTACCAGCAAGTGACTGCAAAAGCGAGGCGTGCTTAATTCATAGCCGCTACAACCTGGCAGCATCACCTGGCGCACGCCGTATCTCCTGCAGGGAAGACAGGCAGGAGGCCAATCTGACCACCACTTTCGGCACTGGGCAGATCTGGGGCAATTGCTTCGAGGATCAGGTCTGCCTCGGCACCGTTTGCTACCCTGGATCCTTCATTGCCATGACCTCCGAGACCAAGATGCCGTTCGTTGTATTCAGCTTCGACGGGGTATTGGGGTTGTCCCTGCCAGACACGTCGCAGGCCTTCTTCTTTTCCTCCCCCTCCTCCTCCTCTTCCTCCTCCCCCTCCCCCTCCCCCTCCTCCTCCTCCTCCTCCTCCTCCTCCTCCTCCTCCTCCAAGGTTTATGTATTACTTCTCCCTGTCGCACCCCGAGGGCGGTCGAAAGGGTGGGCCGGGCGTTTCGCCTGAGACTTCCTGGCAATTCATGATCTTGGAGCTTGATATGTGCAAGAGCTTCACGGATGGAGGGCGGTCCGTTTTCACAATGTTGTTCTCGCCTTAGCGCCGCGCACATTCGCTTCAAAAAAAACGCAAGAGTTTTACGGATGGAGGGCGGCCCGTTTTCAAAACGTGGCTCTCGCCTGAGCGCCGCGCACAGTCCTCGTCTTAAACATTTGCAAGAGTTCCACGGATGGAGGGTGGCACGTTTTCAAGATGTGGTTCTCGCTCTAGCGCCGCGCACACTCGTCTTAAGAGTTTGTAGCAGTTTAAAGCACTCTCATGGTTGACGTCCCAGAAATGGCAGTCCATTGCAGCATCATTGATGAGTCTTGGGTTTACATTGGTCCTCCATCTCCTCCTCCTCCTCCTCCTTCTCCCTCCTCCTCCTCCTCCTCCTCCTCCTCTCTAGCATACTGCAGGGCCTGCACTTCAACACGATTGAGAGGCTAAAGGCGACCGAGAGGCTCCATCAGACACTATTCTCTGTCTTCCTGTCTAACTCCGACGCAGACGTGGAGGCATCCGAGATTACGTTTGGTAGCGTCAAGACAAGCCACATGTCGTCGGACCTGCACTGGGTGCCCGTCTCTCGCGACACTGGTTATTGGGAGGTAAGGGTCACAGACATCACCATCAACAACCACCCACAGGATCTGTGCACCGACTGCTACGTTGCCGTGGACACAGGTTCATCATGCCTGGCTGGGCCAGGCGGCTTGATGCAAAAGCTGGTCACCAGGCTGGACGTCAAAGACGACTGTTCGAATTTTCATGAGCTGCCGAACCTCGGATTCCTCATCGGCGGGCAGATCCTGAACCTCGAGCCGAACGACTACGTCGACAAAGTGCCGGAAAGCTGCCAGGTCTCGCTGATGACCGTCGACATACCGCCGCCCAAGGGCCCGCTCTTCATCTTCGGGATCCCCTTCCTGCAGAAGTTTTACACCGTCTACGACGGCGTGAACAAGCAGGTGGGCTTTGCGGTGGCCAAGCATGTCGGCGACGGCCCCAAACACGCAGAGGTCGTCATGACGCAGCTGGACACCTCGGTGAAGACTTCGAGAAGGGAGAACGCCCAGCGGCATGAGAACCACTGGGCCAAGGGTCACCTGCGCAAGTGAGCCCCCTCCAACCTTCCCTCCTCTGGATGTAAGCTTGCAAGCTTCTATTTCGTTCGGCCGGCGTTAAAGGTGGTAGGTTGCCGCCACCACTTCAGTTGCCGTCGCCGCCGCCGTGGCTCAGCATCGTGTAACAAGCAATAACTCTGGAGTGCAAGCGTTGTTTGGGGAGCGCCCCAAGTGCAATAATGCATCCTTTGGGGTCCATTTGTGTAGCTTCAGCATGAAACGTTGTGAGGATATCTCAAACGGAACTCCCAGCCCAGCCTACGAAAACGTTTGGTTGTGCGACATAAGGAAGAGGGGTAGAGGAGGAGGAGGAGGAGGAGGACCAGGGAGGAGGGAGGAATAGGAGGACCAGTACCAACCCAAGACCCACCAACGATGCTGCAAGAAACCCGCCCTCCAAGTTCCCTCTTCACGGGCCCCAGCAAGGGTTTGTTCCTTACCTAGGCTCTGCCTAGAAGGGTTCTTACTCTCTGGGCTTAAAGGGGCCGGGCAGTGGAAAGCGCCCCGGGCGGTTCCCCCAGTATCCGCCCCGCGGTTCCCCCAGTTACGTCCCCTTAGCTTAGCGTTGCTTATCTCATCTTAGCTTAGCTTATTTCATCTTAGCTTAGCGTAGCTTCATCTTAGCTCAGGTTTATCTTAGCTTAGCTTACCTTCATCTTAACTTCGCTGAGCTTTAGCATAGCAGAGTACAGCATAGCATAGAGTAGCATATCATAGCGCATCATCACATATCATAGCATAGCCCAGCATAGCATAGCATAGCGCAGCATAGCATAGCATATCATAGCATAGCATAGCGCATCATAGCATAGCATAGCATATCATAGCATAGCATAGCGTAGCATAGCATGGCATAGCATAACATAGCATAGCAACTAATGCTGCTTCCCTGGGGGCTCCAACTTCTAGGTAGGGTCGCACTGGGGTAATTTTCACTTAGGGAAGTGCCACGTTGGAAGACAATCGTTTGAAGGAAAGTCCTGAACCGTGCCAACGCACCATTCCTGGGACCTCGAAGCTGCGAATCAACGTTACTGTTGCGCCCTGACGACCCTGAATCGTGCCAGAACCATTCCTGGGTCTTCAAAACCGCGAAGCAACGTGACGATTGTGCCTCGGAGATCTTACATCGTCCCAAAACACTTTGCTTGGGACGGAAGCCAGAAGACTCCTTGAAATTGCTGTAAACTCTAAAGACGAAGGTGCCGGCGCTGAGGCGAGAGCCACAGTTTCACAAAGAGCCGCCCTCCATCAGTGAAGCTCTTGCGGGCTTTTGCACGAATGTGCGCGGCGCTCGGGCGAGAGCCACATTTTGAAAACGACCCGCCATCCATCCGTGAAGCTCTTGCCCATTTTTGGCACGAATGTGAGCGGCGCCAAGGCGAGAGCCGCACTTTCAAAACGATCTGCCCTCCATCCTTGAAGCTGCTGCGAATTCTCAGCTTTAGGATCATGACTGCTGAAAAAGCTTCAGGCAAAACGCCCAGCCCGCCCTACCGACACGTCTCGGGGTGCGACAGAGAGGAATTGCTTACATGGCTGAAAAGAAACGGAGGAGGAGGAGGACGAGGAGGAGGAGGAGGATGACGAGGAGGACGAGGAGGACGAGGAGGACGAGGAGGACGAGGAGGAGAACGAGGAGGAGGAGGAGGAGGAGGAGGAGGACGACAACGAGAAGGAGGACGAGTGAGAAGGAGGAGGGGAACTAGGAGGAGGAGGAGGAGGAGGAAGAGGTCATACCACGTTCGAGGGCGAGGAGGATGAGGACGAGGAGGGTGGATAGGAGGGTGGCTAGGAGCAGGTGGTGGAGGGGGGAGGAGGACAAGGGTCGAAGAAGGAAGACGATCACGGGCACAGACTTGCGAAGGTTCGAGCGGATCCCCCTGGCGGCGCCGGAGCGCCGCTCCTGGCGTGCTCTGCGCGACTAAGAGGGGGGAGGAGGAGGAGGAGGAGGAGAGGAGGGGGAGAGGAGGAGAGTAGAGTAGGAGGAGGAGGAGGAGTTGGAGGAGAGGAGCAGGGGGGGACGGGGAGGAGGAAAAAAAAAAAAAAGAAAAGGGGGGAAGGGGGAGGGGGTGGGAGAAAAAAGGGGGGGGGAAGGGGGGGCAAAAGAAAAGGAGGGGGAAGAGGACGGGAGGACAGGAGGCGGAAGGGAGCGAGGCCGGAAGGGTGAGGAGGGGAGGAGTAAGGTGAGGATGAGGGGAGGAGGAGGAGGAGGAGGAGGAGGAGGAGGAGAGGAGGAGGAGGAGGAGGAGGAGGAGGAGGAGGAGGAGGAGGAGGAGGAGGAGGAGGGGGAGGAGGAGGAAGAGGAGGAGGAGGAGGAGGAGGAGGAGGAGGAGGAGGAGGAAGAGCGGGGGGTCCAGCGCCGAGCCAAGAAAGAGGACGAAGACAAGGAGTTGAATTTGGCCAGCGGGGCGGAAGCAACGGCGGCCCCCCCTCTTCGGACAGTTTATCTGCGGATTGGGCATTTTGGAGTGTTCTGGGGCTGCCTGGGGGCGTTTTGGAGCTCTCCGGTTCTGCTGGGCTGGGGCGAGGAGGAGGACGAGGACGAGGAATGGGACGAGGAGACTCTAATCCTAGACGCTTGCTGGCTCACTCCAACTGGGACCTCAGCGGCGAGTTACTGCGACCCCCACGATGTAAGTGGTGTTTTGCGGCGGTCAGCTGCACCCGCCTCTCTCCGCGCAGGTGCTCTCGGCGAGTAGCAGCTAACGATGTTAATGGTTTCTTGCGGCGGTCAGCTGCACCCCCCTCCCCTCTGCGAAGGTGGTCTCGGCGAGTTGCAGTTACCCCTTGGCGCACCAGGTGACTGGCCACGCCCCCCGGCTCGGCTGCAGGCTCTGGCCGCGGGGCGTGACGTTGCGACCCTCGCCGCTCCCGTGTGGCCCGGTGGGTGTCCCCCACCCGTGCCCTCGGGGCTCGCCCGTGGCGGCCGTGCTGGCCTGTGGCCCTCTCCTCCCAACTCGCCCCGCGGGTCGCGCTGCTCCTGGTCTTCTTGATCATTTCAGCGTCAATTTCCACTGCGTGGGGAGACATCTGGTGTGGGACCACGCTTGAGCTCACGGGCAGCGCCACGCGGCAGTCTGGGGTGGCTGGCCACATCAGCCTCACTTCAGAAGGACCCTCCCTGACAGGCAGCGCTGACGTCTCCACCACCATGTGCCAACCCTCACCATGTCGGCGGTGTTGCGTGCCGTCGGACCTCTTCGCGGCAGGACCCGGTGGCACAGTTGCGCCTTGGGCTGTTGCTGGCTCCCATCGGCACTGGGAGTTGGGCTTCGGAGGGCCTGGCTCTGAGTGGTTCAGCCTCCACCTGTACAGCCTGTGGTTTCCCCTGCGCACCGTCTCGGCCGCCAGCGGGCCTATCCGCTCCAGGTGCCGGACTCGGTGCGCCTTGGGTTGCCGCTGGCCCCCCCCGGCTGGGTGGAGGATTCTGAGGACAGAGCGCTGAGTGGTTCAGCCTTCCGCGCTCGCGCAGCCTTGTGTCTTCCTCCGCGCTCTGCCCGGTTACACCGTACAGCCGTTCGGCGTGGGCAGGTGGCCTGGAGTCTGGCACCGACTAGGCGACTCACTCCGCTGTCTTCGCACACTCTCCTTGCAGCTTGTTTACTTCGGTTCACGCTGCTGCGCCTATGTGCGTTTGCTTGTGAATTTAGTTCATTTTGTTCTGTGCATGTGCAGCTGCGAGCTTGTTTTGCAGGTGCGAACTGGCTTGCCGACATTGGCGGCTGTGTTCGCAAATTCGCACCGTGCCGCATCCCGGACGCTGCTTCCGCTCCCTGACCGTTGCCTTGGAGCCGCCGACCAAAAAATGTCTCTATACCAACCCCAGCCGGGACCAGTGCCTCGGTCTCTTTTGGCGGGGTCTCGCGCTCCATCACCCTTGGCTGGTGTGGCGTGCTGCCGTCAGGGCGGGAGCGGTCGGCTCTGGGGTGATCGTGCGCTGTGTCGTGTGTGCCGGTCCGGTTTTGCTGATCTTGCTGGGCCCGCGCCCCAGACCCACCTGATTGCGCAAAGTTGGCGATACAGAGAGAGAGAGGTGCGCCGTTCCGCTGCTGCTGCTCGTCGTCTCTGTTTTTTCGCTTTCGTGCGCGTCGTCGGTCTCGCCCCTCCCTCGCCATCGAAGGATTTCACCCTCCTCGTGTGCCTCCGCGCTTCTGATTCCTGTCTCTGCCGCGCTGCTTTTTTGTCCCCACTGGGAACTCCCCGACCGCCGACGTGTTCGCGATCCGCGGGGGGCAGACCTGCGGAGCAGTGGGAGTGGTTCGCTTTCCGCTCGTCTCCTCGGTTTGGTCCCCGCTTTGTGTTGGCTTCGTCTGTTCGTGGGTGGCCGTGTCCGGTCAGGCCGATTCTCGTGGGCACGCCTGGCGTGGTGCGACGCAGTACCACACCGTGCCATTCTGCGCGAAGTCATCTGGCCCGCTGCGATCGAGTGTCAGCAAGAAGAGGTCGGGGCAATATGCGATGATTGAGAGGAGCGGGCGAAAGAGTCACGCCAGAACAAAGTCAACGCGGCATCACCAGGGACAGGCCCTCTATCTCTCTCTCTTTCTCTTTCCATCCTTTGGGGTCCTCTTCGGCCGTCTTCTTCTAGACATGTTTTGTAGCGCGTCCTTGGGATGTGGGCTCCTCTGGGGAGCTGCTGGGCTGCGTCGGCGTCTTTGGCTGGTTTCTTGGGTTACTCCTGGCGTGGCAGAGGATGAGGCCGCCTTGGAAGTTTCTTGAGGTCCCTTCAGGCCGTCTTGGGGGCCTCTCGTGAGGGATTATTGAGACCATCTTGGACGCCTGTTGGACACGCCTTTGGCTTGGGTCGTCTTGGGAGCCGTTTCGGCCGTCTTGGGCGTCTCCTGGATGCCCTTCAGGCTGTCTTTGGGAACTCTCGGGGGATCCTGCGCCGTCTGAGGGGCCCCGTGGACCCCCTTAGACGGATCTTGGAGGATTAGTTGGGCTGGCCTGGTGACCTTTTGGGTTGTCGTGGGGTCTTCTCAGTGGCCTCGTGGGGGGTTATTGGGAGCCTCTTGGGCCGACGGAGGGGGTCCGATTGGGAATTACAGGCGGGCGATGGCGGAACGTCTCGGTCTTTAGAGGCCTCTCTCGGAAGCCAAAAGGTGCCAACCTCGGTGTGTACTACGACGGTTTTTGTACACCTGCGCCCTCGGCCTCAGAGACGGCAAGGGAGGCCGTGATTTTGCCAGAGGTCCGCCGAAGCTGGGGCCATGGAGAGGGAGTGGGGGGAGCAGTCAGGTCGGCCAGGCCGAGCGAGTCGGCGGGTCCCGTCCACTCCCGCCTCCCCCCCCGCCACAGGGCCAACACACGGTCACAGGGCAGCTCGACACCGGGACCGGAACGTGCGCACGCACAGCGAACGGAGGGCGCTCGCGCGCGGTGCCGCTTCCGACGACCTGGCGAGAGGGAGAACACGCGGGGCCCGCACCCGCGGGAGCGGAATCTCAGACCACTCGCAAGCGCGGCGTCGCGGCGACAGCTCATGCAAGCCCCCCCCCCCTCTTGGGCGGCCGCATTTCCGATGCTCGCGACGAAGACGAAGCCTGCGCCGCGCCAGCACGGCACGGCCACTTTCACGCAAGCTTTGCGCCGAGCTCGGGCGGGAAGCAGGACCCATGTTTCGCCCGCTCACGGCGCGGCCCAGCTGCCGCTGCCACGGTCCCAGGACGCGGCGGGCGAGGAAGCGTGTGCCGCGCCTCAGCGAGAGCCCGGGGCCACCACTAGGATACAGTCTGGACGATTTCAGAGCGAGGCGCGAGTCCCTCATCCTGTTCGGGCGGGGAGGGGGCGGCGCGAGAGTGCGAAGATGTTAGCGCTTCGCGATAGGTAGCTGCCCCAACGGAGCGCCACTCCGAGGCGAGACCTGCACGGAACTCCTGGGCGAAGGCTGCCTTTCTCCCGCGCGCGGTGCCACCCCGCAGCGAGTTAGCGGGTGAATTGGCTTAGCAAAGGGCCCAGCCATATGCAGCTGTGAGTACCGTTGTTGTATGCACAACTTTCGCAGGAGCCCCCTTTTATAGGGTCGCGAAGCGTGTGAGGGGTGTGCCACATGTTGTGCGGCGGGCGCATTCGAAAGCAGCTGCTGGGGCCGTCGGTGGGATTCCCTAGGGGGCCACGAAACGTGTGAGGGATGCGCCAAAATGGGCGCGGTGGGCGCATGCGAACCCAGCCATTAGGGCCGTCGGTGGAGCACCCCATGGGGCCACGGAACGTGTGAGGGGTGTGCGAAAAATGAATACGGTGGGCGCGTGCGAACGCAGCCAGTGGGGCCGTCGGTGGGGCTCCCTAGGGGGCCACGCAACGTGTGAGGGGGGTGCCGAAAAATATGTGGTGGGCGCGTGCGAACGTAACCATAGGGGCTGTAGGTGGAGCTCCTTATGGTGCCGCGGAAGGGCGTGCAAAATAGGTGCGGTGGGTGCATGCGAACGCAGCGCAGCCACTGAGGCCGTCGGTGGGGCTCCCTAGGGGGACACGAAACGTGTGAAGGGTGTGCCAAAATGGGTGCGGTGGGCGCATGCGAACGCAACCACTAGGGCCGTCGGTGGGGCTTCGTCTTGGGCCACGAAATGTGTGAAGGGTGTGCCGAAAAGGGGTGCGGTGGGCGCATGCGAACGCAGCCACTGGGGCCGTCGGTGGGGCTCCCTATGGGGCCACGGAGCGCGTGCAGGGTGTGCCAAAATGAGTGCGGTGGCGCATTCGAGCGTAGCCACTGGAACCTTCGGTGGAGCTCCCTATGTGCCGCGAAACGCGTGCGGGGCGTGCCAAACATGGATCCCGTGGGCGCGTGCGAACGCAGCCGCTGGGGCCGCCGGTGGAGTTCCCTATGGGGCCACGAAGCGTGCGAAAGACGCGCCGAAATGGACGCGGTGGGCGCATGCGAACGCAGCCACTGGAGCCGTCGGTGGAGCTCCCTCTGGGGGCCACGAAGCGTGTCTTAGGGGCGGTTTGGCGGTTTGCGCCGCAAGTTTCGCATCGCATGTTGTCCAGACACGCCAGACTCCCGAGGCCACGGCCTCAGGCCCGGACGCTGTCCGCAACGGTGGTCGCATCGCATCGCATCCTGGGCTGGCCTGGAGCGTCGGAGAGCCGAAAAGGGCGATAGAAGTCCGAAGCCTGGCAAAAAAAGCACAAGGAAGATCGGCGGCTTGGGCCTCCGCGAGCTCTCCGCAGGCGGATGGCCTCGTTGGAGGCCTCTCGGGCGTTCTCAGGAGCCTCTTGGCCGTCTGGAGGCCGTCCTGAGAACCTCTCGAGCCATCTGGGGCCATTTGGGCGTCGTCTCGGTGGTCTTGGAAGCCGTCTTGGAAGCAACTTTGACCGCCTGGACGCGGCAAAGATCAGAATACTGTGCAGTGCCCTTCTCCTCCAGGTTTCACTCGCTAGGTGACGAAAAAGCTTGGTTTCAAGTGCAACCGCGTTGTCGATGCCCCTATGCCCTTGTCTCACCAACCCCACGCTTTGAACGCTCTCGCAGTGACCTGCATCCGCGTTACAACGAGGGCTTTCGAAGCATGCGGTCCGCTCCCATCTTCTCCCACAACAAAAAAAGATATCACACTGTGCAATGTACGGGGGATCGTGGCCTCGAGGGCGAGCATGTGGCGTCATTTGCGAGGGCTCGTCGATGGCGCGAACCACGCGTATTCTTACGTGCCCCACGGCCCCGCAGAAATTCCGAGGACGTGATTTGTGGGTGTGGCAAGATGCCGATCGGGGCCCACCCCCTCGCGCGGTCTAGAAACAGTGTGCAGTGGGAAGGAGAAAGCAGAACCCCAGCACTTTTGTAAATTCCGCAAGACACTACATCGAACATTGCCACAGTCTAAGCTGAGCGCGAAAATCGCCTTGGGCGGAGCCGCGGGCGCTGGGGCGGGCCGAGAGGCGGAGGGGGAGGAGCAGGGAGCAGGGAGCAGGGAGCAGCAAGCCTGAGCCCCGCAGCCCGATGGCACCACACAGGGGGCCGGCGGACTGCGTAGCGCAGCGTGCCGTCAAGGCTCCAGGATGGGCTGCGTCTGGTAAGGTCGAAAATCGTGCATGGACGTACAGAGATCGGCTACGCGTAAGAGTGACCCTTCGCCGGAGTGACCTTTGGTGCGGGCTCAAGGGGGCCCCCCGATCGCCGAACGCGATGCGATCGCAGCGTCTCGCGTGCTTGTGTTTGGCCCCCCCGCGACCCCCCAAAAACCGCGCACCAAAGGTCACTCTTACCCAGGGTCACCCTTGCGTATAGCCGACAGAGAGTGGCGATCGCTTTTTATTCATTGTTTGGCCGACCGGCGCGGGCACTCGCACCCGCCCCCTCATGGAGTAGATCTTGGCTGTTTCTGGCGCGTGCTTCGAGCAGGTGGAGCCCCTCCCCCGTAGGACGCACTCTTGCAAACAATCGCACTAAGCAGAGGTCCGGAGCAAGACCCCCCCGCCTCCCCCCCCATTTCCGCCCACTGTCGAAACGCCGAAAAAGAAAACGGTCACCAAGCATTTGGGGCGGGCGGCGTTCGCTGTCGGAGGCCTACTGAGAGAAGACGATCCCGAGAACGCGAGCACTGCGCCAGCTTCTCGTGCGCAGCGCATGGCCCTCGCGGAGAGGTCGCAGAGCAAGCGTAGCCCATCGGCGGCTTCGGTGGCCTTCGCAAGCCTCGAGTGGAGAAGCTCGTCGTCCAAGAAGGGAGTATCAGGGCGCGGGCCTCTGCCGCCGACCCGTTTCCAGGGGCGGGCCGCGACCTTGCATGCCACTCCTCTGCCTCCTCCCCCTCGCCGATGGGGTGCGCTCTGGTGCTCTGCGGCCTTCTCTCGGGGCACTCTCGGGGCCAAACCGGGTCGTAGACAAGACGCCACCTCGTAGATCTCCTGGGAGGCCTCTCGGGGGCCTCTCGGCGCCATTGTTCGTGACTTCCTGAGACATTTTGGGGCAGTCGTTTTTTGGACCTCTGGGGGCCTCTTGGGGGCAGGTGTGGCACCCGCGAGAATATCATAACACCCACAGCTCGGGGCCTTCTGCTGTATAATTTTGATCACGCCCTGGGGGGGAAGATCGAATGAGGATGAGGAGGAGGAGGAGAGGAGAGGGAGGGAGAGAAAGAACAAGATGAGGAGGAGTAGGACCTGAGTAGGAGGAGAAGGAGGAGCAGGAGGAGGAGGAGGCAAGCGTCTTCGGGGTTGCTGTGAGCCAACTTGTACCCCTGTGGGGCCCTTGCGGGATCACAGTGGGGCTGTCTAGGGAGGCGACTGGTTTCCACCGCCGTCCTGCGCTTCGTTGCCCCGTTCGGAGTCCGGCCACATCCTCGGGCCTTCCGCCAGCCTCCCTCTGGACCACGCACGAGTTGCACTTCGTGCACTTCTTATCGCCCGCCTGCGTTCTCACAGCCGGCAGGCGCCCCGGGCCAGCACAGGCCTCTGTCATCGGAGGGGGAGGAGGGGGAGGAGGGGAAGGAGGGGGAGGAGGAGGAGGAGGAGGAGGAGGAGGAGGAGGAAGAGGGAGGGGGAGGTGGACGGGGAGGAGGAAGAGGAGGAGGAGGAGGAGGAGGAACAGGACTGGCCCACGCACCGGCCACTGTCGGCGGCTCCGTCGCCTGGGTAGGCCATCCCCACGTGGGCTGCGGGGCCAGCTTCTGCTCGCAGCGTTCTCCCGCCCTCCCCGTTCTCTCTCGCTTTGGGGCCGCGCGCGTTTCAACCCGCGCGTGTCAGCAGGCCAAGGCCGGCTGGAGCTCTCGCTTCTGTGCGCCAGAATCCGAAAAAAAGGAACGGGTCAGGCGTCGCAGGCGGTCCGAAAGCCCATGGCCAGGAGTTCTGATCTGTTCCCCATGTCCTACGACAGAGGGTCCTGCTCATATTCAGACCGCGCGGAACCAAGGAGAACACCTCCCTCCTCATCCAGGCTCACTCATACCCAGACTCACTCATATTCAAACTCGCTCATACCCAGACTCACTCACACTAAGATGGACTCACTCTCAGATGAGTCACACCCAGGCTCACTTAGACTCACTCATACTCGGATTCGCTCATACTCAGACTCACTCCACCTGGCTCAGACTCAGTCGTTCCACTGACCCACACACAGATGGTGAGGATGTCTCAGGCGAGGTGCTGGTTCCAGCCTCTCCAAGGGGGGGCGCCAAGGGGCCAAGGGATAGATGTGTTGTTGCGGGGGAGGGGGGGGGGTGCTTAGTGTCTTCCCTCACCCGTGGTCAAGCAAGTTCTGGACCCTCATTTGCCCCAGGATACCCCCAAGGAGCCCTCCAAAATATCCTCGGGAAGCAGCGAGCCCCAAACGTCGGCTTCAAAGACGTCTAATAATAATTCAAAAGTAACTCAAAATTTGCTTGACTACAAACCGCTTGGTAGTCAAGCAAATTCTCCCCCCCCGTCTGCCCCGGTGTGCCCCAGGAAACCCTCCAGAATAGCCTCGGGAAGCAGCGAGCTCCCATCGTCGGTTTCAAAGACATCCAAAATTAACTCCAAATTTGCTTGACTACAAGCCGTTGTGTAGTCAAGGAAAGTCTCGCCCCTCATCTGCCCCAGGATGCCCCCAAGAAGCCCTCCAGAAAACCCTCGGGAAGCAGCGAGCCCCCAACGTTGGCTTCAAAGACGTCCTAAAGTAATATTAAGTAACTAAAGATTTGCTTGATTAGAAGCCGTTGTGTAGTCAGGCAAGTTCTGGCACCCCATGTGCCCAAGTATACCCCCAGGAAGCCGTCCAGAATGGCCTCGTGAAACTAACTCATCCGGTACCCAACTCAATTCATCTGGTGCCAAACTAATTTGGTATCAAGCTCATTTGGTGCCAAACTCATCTGGTGCCAACCTCATCCGGTGCCAAACTCATCCGGTGCCACACTCATCGGGTGCCAACCTCATTCCGAGCCACACTCATCCGGTGCCAAATTCATCCGGTTCCTTACTCATACGGTTCATCCGGTGCTTATTCATCCGATTCCTTTCTCGTGCCTGGCTCATCTGGTGCCTAACTGCTCAACTCGTGCGCTGCCTGATTCATCCGGTGCCTAATTCATCTGGGCTCACTCATCCAGTGACTCACTCATCTGGGCTAACTCATCCGGTGATTAATTCATCTGGTCTATATTCATCCAGTCGCGGTTCACCCGAATCGCGGATCGGATGAGTTGGTGGAGCAGATGAGCCGCCATCGGATGGATCAGCCAGTCTCCAGATGGCTCGAAGAACGGCCCAAAGACAGCCGTGAGAAGCCCCCAGGCGGCTCAGAGTGGCCCACGACGGCCTAAGAGAGTCCCAAACCCGCCCAATGGGATTTCAATACGGCTCCAAGGCGCAGACCCCCAGGAAAGCCCTGGAGGCTCCCTAGACGGCCCCTGAACGGCCAACGGACATCCCGAGGCAGCCCCTCCACCATGCGTCCACGGCTACACGACCCCAGGATGACAGAAGGCGGCCTCGCAACAACCCAGGGCGCCCCAAGAGGGCCCGAGATGGCCTCAGCCAGGACAGCATTCAGCTCGCATCTGAGACCCCGGCCGCGGACTCGCAGACAGCGGGGCCTTCGCCAGCGGGAGGACAGATGAGATAGGTTCTCTCTCTCTCTCTCTCTCTCTCCGTCCTCATCCGTCCTTCCTTTCCCCTTGTCAATCCTACTTTCTCGCCCTCCCTCACTGCCGTCTCCCATCTCAGACCTTCTCCCCCTCCTCTCTCCCTTCGGCCTCCTCCCCCAGCTCCCTGCCCTCGATGCCGCATCGTCGATGCTCCTTCCTCGCTCCTCCCGCCCGCTCTCCTCCGTCTGTTGGAGCTCCCTCCCTCCACCTTCTGCCTCCCGACCTCGCTCCTCGACGTTCCAGGAAGGGCCCCCTGCCTGAGCGCCCCTACACTCGAAACCTGCCCAGCTTCATATCCACTCTGCCTACCCACACCGGCCCTGGACAGTTCGGAGGTCCTTCATAGCTGCCCTCCTGCTCCCCGAGTGCAGCCGGCTGTAGTCCACAATGGTCCGCGTGAACCCCCTCACCTTGTCATTCCACCCGCCTGGACAGCAAGCAGAACGCAGAAGAGCGCGCACACTGGAGGACGAGAAGGAAGAAAAGGAAACATATTGATGATGATGATGATGATGATGATGATGCTGATGCTGATGCTGATGCTGATGATGATGATGATGATGATGATGATGATGATGATGATGCTGAATATGAATATGAGTATGAGTATGAGTATGAGTATGATGATGAGTATGATGATGATGCTGCTGATGATGATGATGATGATGACGGTCGTGATGGTGGTGGTGATGATGCTGATGGTGCTTATGATGCTTATGCTGATGGTGATGTTGTTGCTGCTATTGTTGGTGATGATGATGGCGGTGATGATAATGATGGTGGTGATGATATCGATGTTGATGGTGATGATGATGCTGGTGATGATGAATATCTGTGTCGCTGTTGTTGATGATGATGGTGCTTGCGGTGGTGGTGGTCATGATGATGACGATACTGATGCTGCTGCTGCTGATGATGCTGATGATGATGCTGCTGATAATGATGGTGGTGGTGATGATGAAGACGATGATGATGATGCTAATGGTAATGATGATGATGCTGATTATGATGATGATGATGAACATGAGGATGAGGATGATGAAGATGATTGAGGTGATGATGATGATGATGATGATGATGATGATGGTGATGATGCTGATGCTGATGCTGATGCTGATGCTGATGCTGATGCTGCTGCTGATATCGCTGATGATGCTGCTCCTGATGATGAATATGATGATGATGCTGATGCTGATGATGATGATGCTGATGATGCTGAGGAGGAGGAGGAGGAGGAGGAGGAAGAGGATAAGAAGGGAACAGGAGGAGAAGAGGGTGGAGAACAGTAGCGAGGAGGAGGACGAGGAGGAGGAGGAGGAGGAGGAGGAAACATTGCGAATTCAAGCGGGAGTACACGAAGAGGGATCAGCGGCGGAGGAGGAGGAGGAGGAATTTGAGGATCAGAGAGAAAGGAGGGGGTTGATAAGGAAGATGAGCAGATCCAGGAGTCCGTAGCCATTTTGGTTTAAGCCTTTAAGCCATTTCCCTCTCACTCGGGAGGGGTGAGGGCTCGAGTGGCACAGCGCCTGTCGGCTTCTCCGCGCACCAGCAACCTGGGCCACAGCATGGCCGCGGGGATTCGCACCGTACCTCTGTCATTTCTGTCACATGGCTGGAGGTCGCGGTAAGGGTGGCGGCAAGAAGGGTGGCAAAATCCAACCGGACCAAAGGGACGGGAAGGGCAAGGACCCGACCAAACCCAACATTCTACCGCAGCAGCCGGCCCAGGCGCAGCCTTTTTCTCTTGGACATGTCAGCGTTGTCAAGCCAGTGTCAGCCTCCGTCATCAGTGGTGCTGGCAGTGCGGACAGCACTGGGAGGGGCCACCGTCAGAGCCTGAACGGCGTCGGCTTCAGGCAGCAGGCCCAAAAAGAAAGGCACGGACGACCGCAAGCAAGGCCCAGGGATCCCCAAGCTTCAGCAGTCTTCCGACTTGTTCAAAGGCATGGAGGCGCATGCTGAAGGCCAGGACGAGGCCAGAACAGAGCAGGCGATGACTGCGTTGGAGGGAGTCTTGGCTCAGCTGCGCCTGTGAGATGCTGAACAGACCGAAGGCCAACTGATGCAGGCGATATACACCAAGCTGCACAAGGCCCAGCAGCAGTTGGAGCAGCAGGCCGCGTACATCAACAAGCAGCAACAGAGCCTTGATAATCTCGAGGTTAAGCGCGCCCCGGTCGGAGGCGGCAAAGGTTACAAAATCGGAGGTCGAGCTGAAGGTCTCCAGTATTTTCCGTGAGAAACAGCAAACGTCCACGAGCCCGCACATGTCGCAGCTGCCGCCAAGGATGGTCATCCCAGCGGGGAAAGGAGCGGCGATGATTGCTATGGCACAGAGTGGCTCGATAGACTCAGCTGAGGCATTTCTCAATCGTATGAACTACTTACACATCGCCCTCGCAGACGACCAAACGGAGCAGCTCGCGGGGCCCATGGCGGAGTTCGCGGCGCACCTCCGCAACATGGCGGGGACCGGCGGCCCAGGCGCAACGGAGGAGCACGAGGCGTCAGTCGCGTCAACCGAGGCTGCTGGACCAGAGCCGCAGGCAGGCCAGGGCTGTGGGCGAAGAGGCTTCGGCTTTAGACGCGCTCATGCCTCAGGCCCCCTTGGCAAGCAGGAGGGCCGCCGAGACCGAGGAGAAGAGCGCGGCCAAGAGGAGGTGCGCGCGCGAGGAGTCGGCGGCTGCGTCGGCAGGGGGGCGAGAGCCTCCGGGATAGCGCCCAGCAGGCGCGGCGATGCCGCGGTGGCTTGCAGGCCCCCACGGTCAACGGCAACAGCTTGCATTCTGCAAAGTCACATATCTATGAGAGTGAGGCTCACACTGTGCTTGTGCAAGGAGC